CTGTGATTGGTTGAAACAATATGTGGCTATCGCCCGCAATTCTGGGATACGGATCCCGCAATGTCACATAAAAATCACATTATTTTTCAATCCTCAAATCAGACAAAAAGATATAAAATTGTATAATATTAATATATTAAGATATATAATTATAAAAATGTGACGTGCATGAGATTCCGTCGATTTTTGTCATGAAAGCAAAATCGATAGAGTCAAGGAATCTGACTGCGAGATCGACATATCCCAGAACAGCAGACTATGCCCAAAACTTTCGAGCTTTCCACACGTTTTCTTTATTTTATTCGGAACATGTCGATAATATGACACTCAATAAATAACAGAACTTCTACATCTCCAAATTCTGCTGTCAGATTGTCCTGCCGAATCGCCAGAGTGCGAGGCTTTACGTGAACGCGCTTTTCTTTACGGAGATAAAAAAGAAAAAAAAGAAAGAAAGAAACGAAGACAACCTACGGGTTTGCTTGTGCGATTACAGATTTTATCCCACATCTAATTATCCTTAGAAAAAACGGAAATATAAAAATTCATAATTTTATATAAATTTCTCTTTTTCATATTTAATAATTAGGTGTATGTTTATGTAATTATATAACTTTTATATAACCATATATATATCAATTATAATTATGTATTGCATAATTATAATTAATATATCATATAATTATAAAATATAATTTTATAACAATAATATATATTTCTATTAATTTTCCTATTTTCAAGTAAATCGCACAACCGAAATCCGGCTCGATTTCTAGTGGATTGATTAGTCATTTAAAGGTAGTTTTACGCAATATAACGGTGTGATATTACGTAACTGATAACTTTATGGAACTGATCGTCCACTTTCGTTTCTCATTTTTTACTCTTTTGGAAAGCCTCGTCTCTCGAGTCCGATATTTCTAAACAGGCTTGACAAAAAGAAATCGTTTGTCAATGGTCTTATAAATCTTAATAAATTTACTTGTATTCTTGAGCAGTCAACAATCCCTGGCCCTCGGAACGGTCGCGAGCGAGGCGTTGTTATTTGCAAGAGAGTAAAGCGATAGTCTGTTCGCGGGGGAGATTCGGAAAGACAACCCCTGAAAAATAAAGGAATTATAATAACGATGCGTAGATCATGTTTTGGTACGTACACGTGTTGTACGGCGCGCTTTCAATGCTGTTTCATTTTCATTTCTATTTTTTTCTGTATATATATTTTTTTTTTTTTGGTCGAGGAGACGTCGGTAGTAGTACCGGACGATGACGGTGGGCGAGAGTGGTGGTCGAAAGAACGAAAACCAGCAGCAGGGTGCCTACTGAAGACAACAATACAGGAAGTAATCTTCGGGTCTTCGTTACCGCGCCCACAAACGAACGATTACGGTGTAAAACAATTTATCTTCCATTATCGTTCGCTTAAATCTCGGTCCGATCAGATCAATCTTTCGTTCGTATGGGACGATCGATCGATCGAACCTAGAAACGAAAGTTGATCGAAAAGTTAATTCAGTGTACAACAAACGAACACGTACATCGAATTTTGTTCTAATTAATAATTAATTTACTTTTTCCCTTTTCTCTAAAGAGGATCGACGACGAGCCAGAAAAATTAATAGGCATCGATAAAGCCGACCGATAAACTACACACATCCGGTCGCTCTCGCCGATGCGAGATCACTCTTGATCTCAGTTGGATCTTATTCTTCTTCTATAGTTTGACTTTAGTTTCGAAAAGAGATAATGACTGAATATTAAGATTAAGACACCGATAAATATTTTAACTGCTCTAAGATATTAAAACGATACAATTATTCTCAACTAACTGCAAAAAGTTAAGACAATCTTTTACAGCTTGTAGGAACAGTGCGTCTCTTACAGATGAACTTAACGGTACAAGCAATAGGAATTTCACGTAAAAACGGACATTCCGGTCAGCGTTATCAATAGACACCCTGAATAGAAACTGATAAGAGCGTATAGTAGATAGTAAGATGTAAAGTGGACGAGAAAATAGATATAAAAAATTCGGGAAGTGCCAAGTTTTCTAGATAAATTGGGAAAGTTCGCCAAGTTTTGTATAGAGGACGAGAAGGAACAGAAAGTGATCCGATCGTAGAACAGGTGATCAATATCAAGACTATAACATTAAAGTTACATAAAGACTATACTTATAATTCACGAATCGCGCTTGAATATATTTATAAACGGAATGAAGCAGCTTTTAGAAATGACAAAAATAATCACGAGATAATTTGTTCAAAATCGGGAACGAGTACGTTCTACGATCGGTGTGAGAATCGGCGAGACGTGGTAAAGGAAGAGTGAAGAAAACGGCGTGAGTCGAGTGTAGAGAGCTGGTGTTCGATTCTATGAGCACCCTCCGTACTTACCACTCACTCATGCGTCGCCAACATTGTTCCTTTGGCAAAGGAAAAAAAAGGGGACTTTCTTGCCGAGCCGAGTCGATCACCCTCGTAAATCAATCTTATTCCAAATCTTATATATACATAACTTCTTTATATGTAAAAATTATTTGTTACGCATTTTTCTACATTTAGATCTTCATTTATCGCAAACCGCGAAATTGATTTTAAATTATAGAATAATTGCGAATGTCCTTTTTCCCAAATTAGACTTTAATAACTCATTAAAAATTTTATCGAGGCAGTAGTTTGGAAATTTTATAGATCAATTTTGTAAATTAATGAAATAAATTTTTTAAATAAAAAAAAATTTTGTGGCTCTGCTGTACCTCGCGAAGGTGCCTCGGCTCGACTCTCAGTATTAACAAAATAAAATTTGCGACAGACTAACCTGAGGCGACCGAATCTTCACACTGCGGCTAGCAAATGTGTTTTAAACTGTAACGTGTACACTCGATTTCTCTTTTGCGTTGATCTATGCTCTTGATTCTATGATACTGCAATTTGGTGAGACCGGCTAAGTTAAAACGTGTATCATACCGAGACTATTCTTCGTCATCGCTACTTCCTTTTGTCGTTACCAAAACCATCAGAGATTTAATCTATTCGTTCGAAAAAAAGAAACACACGCTATTCTGTCACGGAGAAATCAAAGACGCACCGCGCAATGAAATTGATCCGAAACAAAAGAACTTTCAAAAGTAGTCACAGAAATAATTAATATAATTTGATGAGTGATTGAAATTATAAACCTAATTCTCACTATGTATAATAAATAGACTCAAGCTTATTGGTATGTGTAAATCTTTCGAAATATCTACTATACATAAACATTTATTACTCGTTCGTGTCGATTTTTTATCAAATTTCTGAAAGCTTGAAATAAAATTAAGTGTTCCTGTTAAGTATTTTCACTAAAATGATTAAGCGAGTTCAAGTTTAATTTCCTTTTTTTTATTTTAAAAATAAGTACTTCTGCGTCCTCGATTCCTCCGGGAATTCTTCTCAGTAAATCAAGAAAAAAATGTGAATATCACGGAACGGAACTGTCTTGAAAGTGCTCTCTCATCTCGAGTTCTACTTCGTCAAGTGAATAATCATCCAGCTGCAGCGTGAAGCGCCACCTTATTCGCGATCGCGCCTCTCCAAGAGGACACTGCAGGTGCATGGAGGCTGAGGGAATAGCGCGTGATGGAAACGGTCTAATGCGCGAAAGAGGAAAATTTCTTTAAGAGGGAAAAGCACGTCACTTTGTCATTGTTGAAGGTACAATCACTTCCCGAACAACTGCAGGGTCAATCATCAATTTTACGAAAGTAAATGTGAGTCAGATTTTTCAATGATAGAACTGGTCCTCCGTATTTAATTAAAAGTGTAGGAATCTAAAGATTTCATGACCAATATATAATAATCATTATTATATGTGTGAGAATGTTTCTCTAAAGGAATTTTATGTTTTAAATAAATATATTTTTCCTTTGACATTTTTTACAATTGTATTGTATTAAACTTCTCTATTAATCTCTCATTTCAAGATTAAAATTTCGTATAACATAATACCGTGTGCATTATTTATACAACCATATTTAGAAAGTCTACATTTATAAGGTATTCGAGAAAAGTATCAGATCAGAATTACACTAATGACTCAATGCCATATAAAGAAAGACTTATTCTTGTCATTGAAAATTTCAACGGCTTCACAATTACCTTACGCTTATAACTGGAGGATTCGTTACAAAAATAAAGCGATAAGTCCGTAATTTGTAAGGCCTGTTTTAGACGCAATTTTTATTTAAATTGGTCTCATAAACTACGGGACTCGCGCAACTTTCCGTACCGAATCCCTTAGATCGTCCTGATTGACCCTTCTCGTACCGAGAGGATGTCTTTTGCGCGCCGCGTTGTCTTCATCGTGACAAGAATAAGAAACGCAATCTCGACGGACGTACCAGTAGATATATTGGTTGTCCGATGCATAGAAAGACTGCGAGATAAGTCGATAAACAGATAGTTCGCACTGGCATTCCCGCGCAGGACGAACGACGATATTACAGAGCGATTATTTTGAATTTATTCCGTAGAAAAGGCGATAAAACTTGCTTGAGTTTAGCTCACCTGGCATACGACCAACGTAGCATGGGTGCGCGCATACCCATACACACATACACACATTTGCAGTCGACGAGAACGATTAACGTTTCGTGACCGCTGCATTATTTCATAAAGTAGCAGTAAAGAACAAAGAAAATTAAAAAGTTGACCGTTTCCAGCGCGCACCCGATTTCTTTGAAGGAACTCTTTCAGATGTCGATGGCGTTATGTGAGTGCGTGTGTCTCTTTCTCTCATCCATTCTCTCTCTTTTTCTCTGCTCACACACACACACACACACAAAACACACACACACACACATACACACATCTCTCGCTCTTTCTCTTTCATTCAATTTTGTTTTTTCGTCTTTCAACAATATTATTAAAAAAAAAGAAAAAAAAAAGAAAAAACAGATCTTGTGAGAGAGAATTGACGGGAAACAAATTCTACCATGTAGATTATCTTCCGCTTTCTCTCTCTTTTTCTTTCTATTAGTTCTCCTCCTTCTGTCCTTCTTTCGTTTGTGTATATCTCTTCCTCGATCGGGTCCGGTCCCCGAAAATTAGGGGCGGGCCCACAGCACGAAGTGCAGCGGCGGAGGATTGGGCCCGTCCATGGGGGGCGATCATCTGAAGCGCGGATGCATCATCGGCGTCAGCATCGGTCCAGGAAAGCCCATCGGCGCGGCGGCGAAGGCCGGATGCATCGCAGCACCCGGAGGTAGAGCCCCTATCATGCCTGCAAAGCAACGCAGCGGAAGATTAATACGACCCGCGATTGAATATCGCGGGGGGCAAAGAAAACAGTACGTTGCCCACGTGCGGCATACACGTGCTTTTGATTACTCGAGCCTGAACGAGACGACGTCTTGTTCGCCGGATCCAATAATAGGATCTTTTTCTCTTTCTCTTACTCTTTTTTTAATTGGGGATCGGAATCCCTAGGTATACTTACGTCGCGACTGTTCACGTTACGTTAAGATAATTATGGGTCCTGTGTGTTGCGTTAATATGTAGTTTCAATTTATTTTTTAATGTATTTTTTCTAACAGTTTCTATTACTATGTTAAATATCGTGCTCGTTTTTGGAGGACTACATGATCTTCAGCGCAAAATAAGTCACAGAATCATATTCGGCGAATCATATAAATAAAATTGAAAATATATTTCAATAAATTAGGAAATATAATTTTCCTAAATAATTAGATTTAAGAAATAAAAATCTACAATTAAAAAATCGAAGTTTTTAAAATAAAAATTAATTTTGTGATAAAGCTTAAATCTTTCCAAAATTTGCATATTTTTAATTATAAATTTAATTGCTATTATTTAACTATTGAGTTAAATTGAGATTTGACTCACAATCAGTGCATCTAATTATGTTTTTCTGATTTGATCGTGTAATAGCTTTCAAATTCAATTCAGACTCATGTTCCGCTGAAAAGGAAGTTGCCTGACAGCCGAACGATTATTGTAGATTATCGAGAGAAGTAGGTATTAGGATATATTCGCGAGATTTCAAATTAGTTATTTTCTGATCATTCAGAGTGTGCTTTGTCCTTTCGAGCAATCAGAATCTCTGATTGCCAAGATAAGCGTTAGTCGAGTGTGAAGCCACGTGTTCGACCTTCAAGAGAAGCGCGCTTCTTCGCAACAAGAGCTCCTGTTTCTTCGGGTAAAGTCCAAAGGACTATATCACCCGATCCGTTCTCGGTAGCCCACGTAACTACGTTCTACCCCAGCAATCGCTGGTCAATGCGAATCGCCAAACTAAATATGCGTATACGATAGGTACATAATGTACGTAGAACTCAGCTCAGCATGCAGTGCGCCGCATACGCAATACAAATCACAAACAAAACTGACAAGAAGGTGGTACCACACAGAGAAAATTTCACACCATACAAGGAACGAATCTCACTCGGGGGGGGGGGGGGGGGGAAGACGCAACATCGGTTTGATATTGCGAACTGTATTACGGAAGCTCGCGAAGATCGTTCAGCTGTCAGCCGACTTCTTCCAATAAGGACATCACCGCCAAAAACGTGCTTAGTCACTCAGAAATCCTCGATATGCCTACGGCATTGCTCTTTTTTCATAACAATCGAGCAACATAAAATAACTGGTTTAAAATTCTCAAAAGCATTATCTCAACGCGAGAAAAATTAAATTTTTTGTCTACTTGCACGATTTTCTTCTTATTTTCTATTTATTTTATACGTTTTTGTTATACGTTTACTTAGCAATACTTGGTGAGTACGCATAGTATAATAAAGAGAAAAATCGTGTTAATCGAACGGACCCTCGATTGAATGCAAAAGTAAAGTAGGTAACGTGAAGTCGTTTACTTACTGTTGCTCAGCTCAATTTATCTAAAATCTTTCATTGTGTAACACAAAAGCTAGGCTATGGTGTGAGGGAGATACATTACGTTCGTTCTCGTTGCTAGTTTTTTACTTTTCATGAGAAAAAAATTTAAAAAATAAAATAAAATGCACCGGCGAGCACGGTGATAACATTCAATCCTTTCCTTCTTCGTGATATTTCATTTTGCTATTATCATATATAATTTTTACAATACATCCCAAATTTCACGAGCCACTTATCATGGATTTTTCGAACAATTTTTAAATCGTAATTTTTTTTTAAATAAAGATCTTCGTAAGTTTTATAATGTTGAATATCAGATATCTTGATAATTTTCAAATCTCAAATCTGTTGAAGAAATCTGAAAAAAAAAAATCTATTTGAAATTAAAGAATAAAGATTTTATTTAAATCTCAAAACTTCGAAATAAGTTCCATTGTTTAAATCTCTTTAAGTTCCACTTTATTTAAATCTCAAAAAAGTTTTGCAATTTTATCCAGAATTTAAGGATTATAAATTCTTTTATATTATCATTAAACTTTAGATAATGGAGATATATTAAATATTATAGAGATTTTCCTTGTACTTTTTGCTTCAAAATGTGACACTGTTCAGCATTATAGTTTCTCGTCTTATAAAAGTTAAAAAAGTGATTTAAATTAATCAAAAAATCCATCCAAGATAAAAAGTGATTCGAAAAATCCACTATATATCATATAGCGGATATGTCAAAATAAATGATTTAACACAATGATCAAATGCGAAGAAGGAAGGGATACATTGAGAGAAAAATAATTATCGTTTGTAATTATAATTTGTTTCTTTGGAACGACAACTTCGAACGACTGTCAGTACCGTGCCCAAGGAAGCAGTTTCTCCACTACTATATCACAACACCAGGATTCCAAGCTATATATAATATATAAGTAATACTGAAGAGACAAGATGGTAACACGGCTGCTGGCGAGGTAAATAATGGCGTATGTGAGTCGTAAGAAGAGTAATATGGTTAAATCGAGAGAGTGTGAATAAAGAAGCTGAGAGAACGGAACGGAAAGGAAACAAAGAAATCATACATGAAAGAGATGTATAAAAATTGTAACGGCCGAGCGGCCGGAGAGTTTCTCTTCGTCTTTCGCGTAATAAACTGCACAAGGAACTATATTAGGAATTGTACAAAAATCAAAATATCGCAAAATAATTAAAAAAAAAATGTATAACTGTGAAATTGTAAATGGAAAGACAAGTGTTACAATATACCGATAAAGATGTCTAATATTAATCTAGAAACGTGATGTATCAGTGAACAATCAATTGAAAAAAATCTGTTGAATAATTTAACGTTGTACCTTTGGAAAACAGACAATTCATCATATATAAAATTACTTCTTGAGATAAAATCCCCAGAAATTATTATAATTCAATTAAATAATTATTCATCAGGTAATAATTAAATGATAAAAAAAAATGATAAAATGATAATTTTAATTTGTAAGTATTAATGATTGCATTAATGATTATTTTAATTTGTATTGTATAACAAGAATTGCATAACAATGAATTTAGTAATATTGCACGATCTTAACGAATAAAAATTTCCTGATTAATAATTCATAATGTAATTAACTGACGCTTATTGTTCTATCCCAATTATTTCTATTATTTATATAGCCATATTAATATATTCTACATATATTCATTAATCATACATAATAATTCCAGTATCAGATTTAGATTTTAATCGATGTACTCTCTAAATTCTTTGGAATGGAATCTCTTTCTAAAGAGTGAACATTGAATCAGTCTTGGAAAAGAGTTCAATCTTTAAGAATGAGATTTCATTCTTCAAAGTGAGATTCATCCTAAGTTTTAGAGAGTAACAAGTAATTATTTTGATCGATATAAATGATCGTTCAGCGATACAGCTACTCTCTACATTCTTTCTGACTTTTTTTTCAGACTTTCGTTATTTTAATATGTGGTGAGTATTCTCGGAAAAACAAACGTAAATGTTCAAAATGTGGCAATCGGTTGAAGAAATTGGAGTTAAGATGGAAGAAGGAACGTGTCATTGGCCGCTCGACCACCTGCCCAGTGATAAAATATTACGAATATACAGAAATATATATACGGTGGCTCACAAAAGCTGCTTGAACAGTTTCCTACACCGTCATTCTGAGTTTTCAGGAGTCACTATATATATATTATGTATATACGCATACATGTAGGTGTATTAATGACAATGATGACAAGATTAATCAACAATATATAAGAATAATAATAAATATAACAAGATATATATAGATATATATATGTATATATAGATATAGGCCATGTCACCGCATGCTAATTGCTAAGGACCAACCTTGTAGCGCTTGTATTGTAAAACACGGTTTTAGTAACCAGACTGGGTTCGTTCGACACTCATCGAGGAGTGACCGGGCGCCCTGCAAACGCACCGTTAAAACGTATAAACGAACAAGGACTACAAGACGCTGTGTCGTCGAGATTCTGTGGCGTATCATTCGGTCGAGAATCTTGATCTCTATAGTCTCTATCTGAATAATCATGATACTCTTCCCGCCTCGCATTCTCTCTCTTTGCCGTCCCAAGTCAGTGATATACGCAATTGCAATTTCGTCGTCTATTTTTTCTGACTCCTTCCCCCCTAAATGTCAAGTCTGTTTCTTGTTTATCTGTCTCAACGCTCTCATTGTCTTTTTGCAAAGAATAAAAATGACTGTTGTCATAAATACAATTAGTGCAAATTGCAATGCAATGTGCAATCGAATTAAACTAAAGTAAGATCAAATTATTGTTCGATTAATATCCGGCATTTCCTCTTTTTTGTTTGTAGATAGAAAAATCCTTTCCGGTTTATTGAGTTACCGAGTAGGACTGGCTAAAGGTGATATATGAGGGTTGTGTTGACAAAGTATATAAATATAATATATCGCATTTCCGATGGCATTTTATCAATCACTATTTGAAAAATATCTACTTAATTTAACATATCACGCGAGATATTTAAGATTTTAAATTTTTAATAATTAATGATACTGAATCATTAAATATAAACGTTCCATCGGAAATGTTTTTTCGCACTCTAAAACAACATAGTAATTGATTTTGTTAAATTACGGGTATGCGATATCCTTGAAGCAAGAAAAGATCAAGAGAACATCCCTGGAAAGATCACTTTCGAAACGGAAAATAGGGTAATTCAATACACTTTATTCGAAATTTCATGTGTGATAAAAAAAAAAGAAAACTTAACTGCGATACGACTTGTTCTTGTGCATCGATTAACGTTACTGTCTTCAACAACCGATAAGGGGGGAAGGGCGGGGGTAATGGAAAAGAAAATCGACAAAAAATACTAAGAAGGAAATTTCCAAATTTTAACAACAAGAGGGGACAAAAAATACAACAAGGCAGCTTTGTCGAATACGCGAGGGCGAGGGGGGGGGGGGTTAAAAGGGTGGCAGGTAGAGTTTTTCGTAAAGCTCAAACCCGCAGACACTTACCTGGTGGCAGGCCCATGGGGGGCGGTCGCATCATGTTACCTCCATGAATGAGAGCAGGCGCGGCTAGGGTCATGGTGGGTCGCATTAAGGGAGCCATCAACGCAACCGAGCTGACAGGCATTGCTGCGGCCGAGGCTGGTACCATAACCGCCTGCGGCGGTCGCGGGAACCTTTGTTGTTGTTGTTGCAGGGCATTCAGCGCCGCCGCCTGTTGCTGCCGCTGTTGCTGATCCGCCTGAAACGCGGCCACCGCCACGTTTGCAGCCGCTTGTTGTTGCTGTTGTGCCTGCTGTTGTTGCTGCTGCTGTTGCTGCACTGCTTGCTGTTGTTGCGCTGCTGCTTGTTGCAGGGCGGCAGCCTGCTGCTGCTGGCTCACCGCCGTTACCACTGCCTCTGATTGTGCCGATCGTCCAGATTCGTCAGTTTGTCGACGCTGATACTTTGGCAGCCTTGCTCTAATTTCCTCCTGAAAAACAAATTCTTTGTTTAAATATAAATAAGCGAAGGTCACACATTCGGTCAAAGCGGTTCTTGGTACCTAATCATGTGGATGTATTCAAGTTGGCAAAGTAACTAGCCTACTTGCCAAGCGAATAAATGATTCAGGTTCTTACTTATACATAGATTTAGTTAATTATATTCAATCGCTTGGCAAGCAGGCAAGCTGCTTTGTCAGACTTAAATACAGCCAATATTTTAAAATAAATTTTCAATTTAAGCAAATCCTTTGTTTAAAATTTATTTTGCTTTGGTCATTTCCATTATTCAAAGAAACTTTTTTCAGAATCAAAAATTTATTTTCAAAATTAATAGTTTTATTTAATATGCTATTATCCACATATGTAAATTCTGCAACAGTAATTGAGGGGCTAGATTCTAAAGGATATGCGTAGATTTCGCGGATATAATAAATATTGTCCACAGGGCTAATTTTGGACATCTCTAATTGGCTCTAATTTCAATTTTGACAATTGATTCTTGTAGAGAATTACTTATTAATAGCGCATCTTTTTCGTGTTTAAACAAATTTGTAAACAATTTTTATTTTCGAGTTATAAATGAAAAATTTAATTTTTTTCATTTTACAGAATCTATTTTCTCGCCATATCTCAGCCAAATATGAATATTTTTCTTTGAAATTTTTACAGAATAAACTTCAAAATGGCAATGCGGACAATACTTATCCCGCAAAATCCACGCGTATAGAATCCAATCTCTCAATTCAAAGATCATAATTAAAAATAGAAGAGAATGAAAAGTTTTCTCGGAAACGAAAGTTGAGGAATAAAAATTAGAAACTTACTAGACTGAGATCTTCCGGAGGGTGAATGATTTTACTGGCAGCCCCAGTGGTTGCAATAAGAGTCACCTTTTGATCACCACTATTAGCGAGGCTGTTGGTTACAGTAGCACCAATGGAATCACCGGCACTACTGTAAGCAGGGAATGTCGGCTTTACTGGACCTATTGAACCGCCACCGCTAGCCACTGATGTGATCGGTTTAAAGTCTGTGCCGAGAGGTGCAGATCCGGTCACCGACACTGCCGTCGATGCTGCTGTCGAGACTGCAGCGGCACTTGGGAACAAAGGACGTGCCGGCGGGATCGATGCTCCCGAAACTGGCGGCTGCATACCGGAAGGCATACCTGACATACCCGGCATCATGCTAGAAAGAAAATATATGAAACGAGACTCGAAAGAATTTATCAGTAAAAAATATTAAAAAAGTCAACACCAGCTGTTCGGATGCATAGAAATTTCTTTATTCTCGTGTAAATGTAACAAAAACGAAATAAATAAACGTTTCGACCCTTCAATCTGAGTCCTTATCAATATAAAATATAAATCTAAATTATATGAGTAATCTTATCTAAAAATATAACTACAATTAGTACCATGCAAAGTGGTAAAAATTTAGCTCGTTCTTCTTTTATCCAAATGCCAATTTGCTATGTTAATGAATAGGCATATAAGGGGATTAATACTCGTATTCATAGTCAGGTCTTATATTTAAGGTTTCCTTACATTTATCTTTAGATCTCTACGAATTATTTCGAATTATTATTATTGGTTACTGAGCATCTAAAGATAAATTTAAGGAAGCTTTAAGTACAAGGTCTGATTATAAATACAAATAGGTAGATGTTTGAAAATATGCATACATGAACATAGAAATCACATAAATTGGAACACTGCATTCCATAATAACAAAACACAGAATTAGTCATCAGCATAAATTTTGGGAAAATGTCAAAATATTAGACGAAGAAAGGTTGCTTAATAAAAAATTGATTTCGGAAATGATTATAAAGTAACAGAAACAGAGTTTGAATTTATAGAATGATACTTCTTTGCGGAACCGTGATTTGCTTTTCCCTTTGTTCTTATTTTTATTTTTATTGTCTATAACTATATGACTTTATTATTTTGACTCTCACTGTCCACACCTGTCCAGACCCTTTTTTGACTGCAGCATTCATGTCCGGTGCCCGACATTACGTCGAGTGGTGAGGAACACATATAAGTTAATAAAATTAAAATTCAGATAAATGATTTAAATAATTCTCTAATTTTTCGTTTTTCATTGAATGATAGTAAATCTGATATTTTGATGAGAAATGTGACCTTATCTATTGACACAATGTATATGACATTGTTTTTATTTTATGTAAGTTTTTATAATATTATTGTATAATTTTTTTCAATATATTTTTATAATAATCACTTGGCTATTCATTACATAGCAAATTGGCATTTGAATAAAAGAACGAGCTAAATTGTCGAGATCACAATTAAAAATAAAGAAATTGAAAATTAAAAAATGAATTTGATATAATGTTATAGTTAATTGAAGAATACATACCCTGGACCCATAAACGGAGGTCCTACATGGCCCATTGGCATCATAGGATGCATAGGAGGCATACCAGGATGTGGTGGCATACCAGGATGTGGTGCCATACCTGGATGTGGTGCCATACCAGGTAACGGCGGCATACCTGGTTGTGGTGGCATTCCGGGTAGACCAGTCGCCATGCCAGGCATTGCTCCTGGCGCAGAACCTAACAGACCCTCAGGCTTCGGTTTTTTCTGTACTGGCTCATCCTCGCCAGATGATGGTGAGCCAAGTCTACCACCGTTTCGCTGTCTCTCATGTTCTTTTGCATCATTCGGTGGTATACCCTCCATTCCATAAATCTCTATCTCAATATTGCTACGATTTGGCAATGAATTGGGTACCTTATCTATCGCTTCTTTGTGAACCTGTGAAAATGAATGTCATGTTAAAATATCTTAAAATATCAAGCAGATAAGACCTAAGATAATAAGGATGTAATTTTATTTACCTGCATACAGTGTATGCTAAGTCCTGGTCCAGTATACAGTTTCTTGTGACAGATATGACATTTGAAGTGCTTTGCTTTCTGATGTTGAATGAGGATTTTCTCATCCTCGAATTCACGATTGCAATACCTTTTGAAGTACAGTTTTAAGGAAATTTACAGGATAAGATTTAAATAATAGTTAGTATATAGTTTTATAACTCTTTAAAACTTTTAGAAACTTGCTTTTAAAGATTAAAAATTGAGCTGCTTTGCAAAACTGACTCAATTTTCATTCTTTAGAGTGAGATTCCAATTCAAAAAATTTAGAGTATATATTCAGTCAAGCCTGTTAGGTATGTAATATGTTATAAATAACAAACCTAAAATTCATATAATTTGTAAAAAAAAATTTTAAAAAATAAAAGAAAACGTAAAAAAAATTAGAAAAAGTTTATCTCTTAAACATTTTCAAAATTATCTTTCATTTTCAAAATCAAAATTTTGTTTGAAAATTTTTCAGCTCAAAAAAATGTATTACTTAATCCTAATTGGAAATTATTACAAGTAAAATTTTTCTTTTAAGTTTTCATGTTCCATAATTTATGCAAGTAAATAAACTTTTAAAATTTAATCTTTGTTAATTTTTATAACTTCACAAAACAAATTTTAAATATTTCTTAGTTTATTTACATGAAAATTCATCATTCAATTTATAAATTTAACATTATTCAAACAAGTACTTACAATACCTTTCAACTTCTACTTATCAGAAAGCATTCAGATTATTCGTAATTTCACAAAATAAAATTTAGATTTTCTTCAATTCATTCTTTAAGAAAGATCTATATTTAATTCATAGGTTTTATAGCATTCAAACATTTTTACAAGTCACTGAAAAGATCAGGAGAGTATATTTTCAATTGCTCTACATAAAAACAGCCAGCTAAGTGAAAAGAAAAAAAACTTAAAGGAAACTTAAGCGGAAGAATTGCGAAACCAAGATAATACAAAGATTACTCCTAATTTTACGGGATAAGAAATCGATCCGATTCAGTCGTTTTTCCGCGTGGAAGGCTTCTCGATCGCGTTACATCATCGTGCAACGCATCGCGTGAACGCGAGGACAGTGGAAACAGCTGCGCTCTCTCATGTATAAGTATATACAAGAGATGTCGCATGTCGCGGTGATGCGAAGAAATCGCGTATCGATTTCCCCGCCTTCCACGGAACCCACACTGTGTCGATTTCTCGAGCCTCTTCCTGCAATGGTGGGGAAGATCGACACCCGCTGTATAAATCACCGGCTGATAGCGATAATTCCTCACTATACGATCGCACAACTAAAATCGTGCTCCAAAAATTACGGTTACGTAAAAGCGACCGTTGCAGGTCGTCATCGTCGTTGCCGTCGCAATCTTCGAGGAAACAAAAAGGATACCAGCACCAAGGTCTTGACTGCTTCTTCTTCTTGCGGCCCATCTTCCTGCCGGATTATCGGAAACTTGTTGCTATTAAGGATGACTCTCTTTTCTAAAACGATCCTTAATTCGACGTACAATTAGCAAATATACGCGGCTCAAGAAGTGCAGGAATCCTAGGCGATCGTAACACCACACACGCACACACGCGAAAACCGATAATACAAAATGGCCGTCGTATCTTTTCCGCGGACCGACACGACGCCGGAAGTGGCCAACGTGGCGCGCCTCAAGATTCTAAGGACTAGGGAATTATTTGACGGTAAGATTTCCTAGGAATGGCGCATATTTGCAAATTACAAGTGGATGAAGTGGATGACGGGAAAATTAAAAGTGATTATACTATTCTCAATTATGGATATACACGACGTGTGTGTGTATATATATATTTTTTTTTCGTATGTAAAATTTTATATATAATTGTATATATTTTTTGTATATAAAATTTGCGAGATACAAAGAGGGCAGAAAAAACAGCAGATAATAAAAACATTCTGTGTCGCATGCATACTATAATAAAAAAATAAAAATATATATTCAATCATGTTTAGAAGATATATGTATACATATTATAGTGTGTATCATACATATAATATATATGTAATGTTATATATATAATATACAGGGTGAATAAGAATGAATTATTTTTTGCTTCATGAGACAAATTGTCGACTAATTATAAAATAATTATAATATAAAAAATAAATGGTGAAGAAGTAAGGTGAATCATTCCCACGGATGCACAGTAGGTTGAAAATAGCGGGGAGATCCGTCAATCAATCAATTTTTGAGCTTATTTACAAAAATTCACATGATTCATTCTACAAATAAATAAATACACTGCAAATTAGTACAATTTCTGATTGATCGAATTTCGCTGAATTATGCGCAATGATTCACTTTATTTAATTCTACCATGTAAAAATATACAGGATGATTAATGCATGTCAGTACTTTTTAGGAGAAGTTATCGACTCCAGCTGTGATCATCTAAATGATTCATAAATGGATGTCGCTTAGATCGTACATACCTGCTGAAATAGCACAGATAATCATTACTTCAGCAGAACACAATAGTTTTGCAACCGTTTTATGATTCTCTGCTGAGGACCATTCCTCTTGATCTAAAAGCATAACCCAATCAGCGTGAAGAAACTTCCAACAATTGCAAAATAAACGTTCTACCATTACAAACTCAAAAAGAATTCACTTTTTAAAATTCTTTCTTTGAATTTATGAAAGATGGTCACAGATGCAATCGAAAACTCACTTCCCATAGTAAAAGGTACAGACATGCATTAACATTTACTCTGTATAATTAGAAATGTGATACTTTTTCTCCTAGGATAAAAAACTGGTCCATTCTGATTCATCCTATATATATATATGTGTGTGTGTGTGTGTGTGTGTGTGTGTGTGTGTGTATATATATCTTTTAAACATGATATTTAATTAATGTATAATACATATAAAAAATTAGTCAAGAATTTGCAAATTACAGTAATTACTCTTTTCTTCTTCTTAGTAATATTATAGGACTTCCTGTACTTCAACATTCATCGTCGTTACTCACACATTCAGTTATTACAATTGTACTTCTAAAACACAATTCATGTAGAAACAAAAAATGAATATACAATTGCCCCCTTTTATAATTTCTTTAACTTATATAATATACATATAATAACAACTGCAAAAAAGCAGATGACTATCACGATTGTGTATAGCAGCAGTTCATAAATCTCTCTTACGATAAAATTCTCTTGGATCAGAAATAGAAATATTTTATGATAAAAATAACCTCCGTTAGCTGGTGATCCTTTGCTTTAATGGGATATCGCTCTCGGAATCGCTGGATTCGTTGGACTCGTTGATACACGCAGGGTCGTCTAATGATACAGATCTCTCTCTCTTTATCTCTGTCTTAATAATTGTCTTCTCCGCTTCATTCTAAATTCACATATTAATAAATATAAATTTAATTGTATGGCTATGCTATTATATATAAAAATATTTATTACTTATTACATGATTATATTTTGTATCATATAAAATTTATATTATGTCAAATTATGTTGAGATCATAAACAAAATAACTGAAGGTGACTTCGACTAGATTATGATAACTAATCAGCTATTACCAGTAGAGTCACTTAAGACAAAATCTAATATACAATTCGTTATTCTTAATCTTTTTTACCTTAAATATAATTCTGTTAATTAATTTAATAGTTTTATTCATATACTTAAAATACTGCTGATTAAGTTAATCAGAGTTTGGTCAAAATCATAAGGACGTAAAATATGTGTTACCTTCTTTCTACTCTTCCTCTTAATTACATTAGATCGCGATACATATCTATCGGCCATAGACTGTACTCTCCTAACGTCGAAGTCTTGATCAATCCTGGTCACCATCTGCGTTCTCTGCTCTTCGGAAGTCACATATAAATCATCCGGATGATGATAAGTGTTGTGTATATTGTAGGCTCTCTTGTTGTAAAATAATGCTGCACACACTGTACATTTGATCAATTCCGGCGGCATAGTCTCCCTTTCTCTCTACAAAATAATTGCGTTATAGAAATATTTAAGTTTTCACAAGCATGTCGGGATACAAAATGATGTCAGGATTACATTCTTTAATTGTACTTTAAAGTTATTAATTTTCGTTTAAAACAATAAATAGTAACTTTTAAAATATATTTGAATTATATTTATCTTCTTACTTTCGTGTGTATCCTTTCCAAATGCTGTTGCAAATTGAATTTTACAACATATTCGATACCACATAAATGACAATAGTATACGTTCATTGCATCATTCATAGAGTTGAATTTGATTTTATTACTAGGCGGAGGAGTGGCTATCGGTTGAAATAAGTGTACCATTCTGAAAAATAATACAATCAGATAATAATTCCATAAATATACATTCAAAGTGGATTGAATGATAAAATGCTACCTTTTATGAATACATTTACAATGATATTCCAATGCCTTCTCATTGTAAAATAATAAATCACACTCCTCACATTTTCTGTGTTGATCTTTGTTCTCACTTTCAGTTGCATCATGCAAAGTTTGATGAATATCTCTGTGATTCTGAACAAATGTGTTTTCGTAAAATTATTATAAAAACAGAAGAGAAAAAAGTGTCATAAAGTACTTACCTTTAAAGGAAATTGCTGTCCACAATAGGAACAATGGAATTTGGTTGGTGAATTGGGATGCATTTTAAACCTGTGTCTTATCGTTGCCCGTATTGAATCAAACGACTGATTGCATATATCACACAGAGTATTTTCATCACTTTTCCTTTCTATTGGTCGCCCACGACCATCTATCTCCTTATTTGCATGTTGCCTGTACCAAACATGACAAAAAACAAAACACTTGGATAAATACAGATAATGAATAATAAATTTTATAATTATTTCGTACATAAGTATATATTTTTTCATAGAAAATAATTTAAAATAATAAAAGGCTAATAAAATAAAAAAAAATAAAAGGGATAGAGCTGAAAATTCTAAATTTGATTCTGCATTACATTGATTCTGACTCAGATTTATTTAAATCATATTTTCTCTTTTTGTTTCTTTTTCTTTCTTTAATATACTTTAATCTTCATTTATTATTAATTTCCAACTCCAAAGGTAACATTTATTATTTTTTAAGATGATTTTGATCAAACTCCAATTAATTTAATAATCAATAATATTTTATTATCTAAGTAATACAATTTATTATCTAATATATCTAACTAAAACTATTAAATTCACTAAGAATTAATTGAGAAATATTTAATGTATCGAAAAAGATTGATAATGAATGATTCTACCAGTCAATCAAATTAATCAGAGTTCAGTTGAAATCGTTCTTATTTTTTAAATAGAACATTTCCAACTTGTTTCGTACATAAATATAAATTGATACATCATAACAACATGGGATATTCAGATTCAAATCATGTCATGTGAATGCTCAATGTTTTCCTACATTGCGTGACATATATTTTGGAAAATCACTAATTTCGTTAATAACATTGTGAAATCACGATTAATTGACTTGAACCGATTGTGAATCTTAACTTAATTATAATAGCGATGAGTGTATACCTAAAGTGTTGCTGCAGCGCTTCCTTGGTGTCTAGCTTCGAGTTGCACAGAACGCAGTTGTACTTGCTCCCGGTACTCATTTAGGCGCTAGGAATCTGCGTAAACGGAGCGAGCAAAATCCGCACCGAGATTCGAAACAAGATCGCCCTGACCGTCGTAAATTGATGCGTTCAGCACAAGCGAACACTTGCCGACGTTCGCTGCATCCTCGTCCATTCGTTGACGGTCACCTAATCTCCTAACCTCGCGAGCGAGAGAAAGGGAGAATTGCGACCGGGAGACACGGGGTCTGTTTTTTATTCCTACGCTAGATAGAACTTTTTTTCTTACTTTAGCTAAATATCAAGCCTGCTTAATTCACTAGGAGAAAAACAGACCGACGAAAAAAATCAATTTTCAGCCATTTTATTGCATTGAAAAGATGCGCCATCTCTCTAACCAGAACATGACGCACAAATAAACATATATCCGGAAGAATTGACATTGTGACAGTAATTTTAATGACGCCGTGTGTTTTTATGTGAGGAGAAAAAAGGGATTTTGCAAGATTTTAGGGAATAAAAAGAATTATTTTTGTCATAAATTTTATAATATAATTCGGATTTTAACTATTATAACTTAGTATTAATTTTTTGAAAATAGAATTTAGAATCATAACAATCGCTCTTAGTTAAAGATCAAGTTACGCTTCCAATTTACATAATTTTGGTAAATAAAATATTCCATAAAGATATTGTTTGTTATATAATTACATTTTTTTTGGTTATTATATCAAAGACAAGCTGAAAGTTTTTCATGGAAGACATATATATATATATAATATAAATAAATCTAAAACTCTAAGATATATCTATCAGTTCCTTGCTTAGCACGGAATAAAGATCAAATAAACGTTTTAAAATATACATCTCCAATTTCTTCGTGCTAATTTTTATCTCTAAGACGTAAGTTTATGTTAACACTTTGTCGATGAGGTTTTAATAAGCTGATATTGACAAATAAAATAAAATTTAATAAATTAAAAAATTAAAAAAGCAAAATAACTGAATAAAATTAAAAAAATTATTTTTCATATTTTGAACCACTATATTCTATATATAAATTTTTGAGCTAAGTGTTAACAAGGACCTTAAATTTACCGCGAATGTTCATATACTATGCAAAAATGAGTCAGCCTTCAGTTCGATAGTAAGAAAGATTTCGAAGTTTTATAAATAATTGCGTTTAGGAGGAAAAACAGATTTGCAACTGTCGTAAAATTGTTTAATATGATTGGTTTTGCCGTTAATTTCTCATTAGATCTAAATGTAT